CTGCCCACACAGGAGCTGCCCACACAGGAGCTGCCCACACAGGAACTGCCCACACAGGAACTCTTCACACAGGAGCTGCCCACACAGGAACTGCCCACACAGGAGCTGCCCACACAGGAGCTGCCCACACAGGAGCTGCTCACACAGGAACTGCCCACACAGGAACTGCCACACAGGAGCTTCTCACACAGGAACTGACCACACAGGAAATGCTCACACGAGAGGAGCCGCCCACACAGGGACTGTCCACACAGCAGCTGCCCACACAGGGACTGCCCACCATCACTTATTTTCACACTGTTCTGAATTATCTAAAGGAAAACTCCTTTGCCGAATTCGGCATGCTGGAAGCTGAGATTCTTCCTTCAGAGGATCCTTTATTAAGTTTTTAAAAACGATCCCAAGTGTGGTTATCAAAGGGTCAAAGTGCAGGATGTTCTCGTAACTTGCATCAAAGAAAAATTTAACTTGACTGAAGGTTTGCCTAAACATTTATTCACAAAAACATTTATTAAACACCTATTATGTGCCAAGCAAAACACTAGAAATTCCAAGATTAAGGTCCTTTAGGATTCTTAAGAAACGCAAAAAGGAGGAAGAAGTTTATACTGTCACTGATGACACAGAGTTTACGACCCACTATGACAAGTGCCACTGGGCTGAGATAGACGACTGCTGCTTTCGAAAGTAGTAAGGGATGGACTGCTGGCAGCACAGCAGACGGAGCTCTGCGACCCGCTCGCCAGTGAAACTGGTGCAAATGATTTTATAAATTAAACAAAAATTCTCCAAAGTCTCTGGAAATGGTTCTAATGGCATACAGCCAGTGAAGAAACATTTACTAAAGAAAATCTACAAAAACTCTGTAAGAACAGTGAGAGTCTGTGATGCATACACCCAGACCCACTCCCTCCCAGCTCAGTGTGACATGAACGCCATCACCGACTGCCACAGCCCAGAACACAGCGCTAGCAACGCAGCCACTAAACCCAAGCAAGACTTCCAAATGCTCTTCTCTTGGCCGGCAAGTTAGCAGACAGGCCTACAAGTCAGTCCTCCTTGCTATTTTTCTGAAAGCAAATGTCCCAAGTTTAATTATTTCTGAGCTAACTGGAAAATCATGTCAGTTTTGCTTAAATCACTGTGTTAGGTGCCGTCGAGTCGGTGCCTAAAGATCACCATCTCACATACGCTATATAAACAGATTGACTTGCATAAAGTAGCAGCCATACTACTGTTTATGTGAATAACATAAACAGCCAAGATTAAATAGAAGCTAAGATAAGATGCCATTTAAATCAATTAGACAGGCAAAGGTTACAAATCTGGAAACATAAAATGCTGGCAAAAATACCCAGAAACAGGCACCCCTCAGACGCAGTGTAAAGTGGCACAGCCTTCTTGACAGTGACTTGGTGGTGTCGGTGAAAAGTGAAGAGGCACCTACCCTCTCACCTAGTGATTCCACCCCAGAGAGTTAGCCTAGAGTCCTACATGGGAACAGAGCTGCAAAGCTGTTCTTGATAGCATTGTGGACTAACAGACAATCTGGAAACCACATACACATCCATCAATAAAAGACTCCTTAGATAAACTATGGTACAGGCAGCTGTCCCACTGAGTGAGACAGACCTTAAAGTGTAACAGGGAACAATGTCCAAGATACGTCCTTACGTACACAACAGCGTCTCTCACAACACACCATATATAGAATATGGCCAGTGTTGCCAAGATAAACTCCTAGAAAATATCTAAGTCAAGATACAAGAAGGTTACCGGTGGTTGTCTCCAGGGAAGGCAAACGAGGCCAAAGGAATTGGGGAGAACGTTTAACTCAGAAATGTCTCTGCACTGTCTGAATTTTCACCATACGCACGTGTCATCTTTACAATTCTTCAAATCTACTTATTTGGAGTGTGTATTCTATTTCAGTGCTACTTTGATGTTTAAGTTGCCAATCATGAGGTATATATGGGCTTCGAGATGATATGTGTCATAGTATTTTAGAAAGAACCAATCAGGCGTTTTCTCTGAGAAGCCACCATTTCCGTAAGTCATAATAAACAGTCACAGGAGACGAAGGAGTTGAACAGAACGTTTTCAGTGTGGAGTCCACCCGACACCACGCTCTGGGGTAGGTGTTCTGGGAGACAGAGTGGAAGATGACAGAATGCCCTCAGAAGAGACGGCAGAGGAGCTAAACATGGATTAGGGAGACCACCACTAAACCATTTCAAACAACATGGTAAAAATAGGACATTTTTTTTAAACCCTCATCACACAGACTCACCAAAAGGCAACTCGAATCTCGTGTCCAGCAGAATCTTATGAGGAGTTGGGTTTTTAGTTCCACAGACCTCGTCGTCTTTCATTAATGTTTGAGCTTCCAAAGTGGACCACTCCCCAGGCCCTTCCTAGAAAACAGAGACCTAAGGTCAAAGTGACATCTTTCATGGCTCCATTCTTGGCTTAAACTCAGGTGTCTTCCCTGAAGCTCCTTCTTTGGGAGCTTCTGAGGGTCATCCATGTCCTCACGAGGTGAACGCACTCCTGCAGCAAACACAGCCCTGTCACCACCTGCCTCATCCAGCCCCGCTTCTCCTCGCTGGTGGGGACAGCAGTGCTCAGTGGCCTCAGCTGTCCACAGGCCCACTGAGCCTGCGAAGGCCAGCGTACCAAACCCAAAAACTAAGCATCTCCACAGATCCATTTTAATGTGCACAATTCTTATCTATAGTGCCGTTTAATGGTATTCGTCACTTCTAACCAGTAAAGAGCTCTGAATGTTACTGGTTAAGGAAAATGAATTTGGACTTCATCCGACTGATGAATGGTCTTCAGGGTGATCCACACCGTCCCCACATCGTGTCCCAGATGAGTCCTTTGTTCCAGACCTCCACGCTCAGGCCCAGGTCCAGGTGACTGATCTCACTAAGGAGAGAAGACAACTTCAATCTTTTCTCCAATTATCGGGACATTGCTTATTGGTCCAGCTATGAGGATTTTCGGTTTATGTGGAGGTGTGGGCTACACCTGAGCCCATCCTCGCAGCCACTGGGCCAATCCATCTCATTAAGGGTCTGCCCCTTTCTTGCTGACCCTCCACTTTACCAAGCACAACACCCTTCTCCAGGGAATAGGCCCTTCTGACAACATGACCAAACTAGCTGAGACAAAGCCTGGCCATTCGCACTTCCAAGGAGCATTCCAGCTGCACTTCTTCCAGGACAGATTTGTTAGTTCTTTTAGCAGTTCATGGTACTTACAGAATCCTGATGCCACATTCTTCATATAGTCTAGATTCTCAGATTACTTGCTCAACACACAGATTGAACAAGTACGGGGAAAGGATACAACCCTGACACACTCCCTTCTTGATTTTAAACCATGCAGTGTCCCCGTGTTCTGTTCAAACAACAGCCTCCTGGTCAATGTACAGGTACCTCATGAGCACAATCAAGTGTTCTGTACTATCTACCTGAGAAGACTGAAGAGGGGCTCTCACACCTCTGAGGTCCATCAACGGGCACAGAGAAGACCTGACTTAAACACAAAGCCCTGACCTCTGGGCGAGGACAGGAATGGACCAGCTGCAGGCCTCTCACTAGAAAGAAGGTAGAAGCCTGAGATGTGGGGACAGACCATCTCAACTGGAGCTCGGTGGGCAGGACCAAGGCGGGAACAGTGCACTGACCTCATCCGACTGACGAATGGTCTTCAGGGCGATCCACACTGTCCCCACCATCGTGTCCCAGATGAGTCCTTTGTTCCAGACCTCCACGCTCAGACCCAGGTCCAGACGACTGATCTCACTAAGGAGAGAAGACAAGACTTTGAGGAAAAGCAGATGAGACAAGATGAAACAGCCACAGCTCCGCTTTGCTAAACCTTGAATACTTCCTCAGAAAGATCCTGTCATCAGGGAAAATCAAAACGCCCCAGATGGCTAAAACCATTCTTTAGGTTCCTGGAAACCTGCGTAAGAAAGCCACAGAAACTGCCCGTCAGTCCAGACCCTCCTCTCTGGAGCAACCGTCACAGTTAGACTGATGCAGCGTCAAGAAGAGTGAAGTCATGTGGTGACAGCATCACTGCCAGGCTCACCTGTTCACAGCCTCAACCCTTAATGAACAGTGTCACACGCTTATTGCTACTACTACTAATATCCCAACTTTTATCTCCAGAAGGTAGACAGGAAACATTAAGGAAAAGTAAGCTTTATTTATAAGATGTAGGAAAGGTAGTCCACGCCAAATGAAAGGGTCTTGGAGGACTGTAAGTTTAATGGGAACGGGCAGTCACAGGCAGGTGAGGAACACGAGTGTGTGCCAGGTCACACCACTAGTCATTGCCAATTAAACTAGGCACCATCACTTTAAACAAAACAATTATCACAGGGCAGTAATAAACATGGTTGTTGATGCTGTTAGGTGCCATCCAGTTGGCTCCAATTCAGTTACCCTACGTACAACACAACAAAACACCGCCCCGTCCCGCACCAGCTTCACAATCCTTGCTACACCTGAGCCCATCCTCGCAGCCACTGGGCCAATCCATCTCATTAAGGGTCTTCCCCTTTCTTGCTGACCCTCCACTTTACCAAGCACGACACCCTTCTCCAGGGAATAGGCCCTTCTGACAACATGACCAAACTAGCTGAGACAAAGCCTGGCCATTCGCACTTCCAAGGAGCATTCCAGCTGCACTTCTTCCAGGACAGATTTGTTAGTTCTTTTAGCAGTTCATGGTACTTACAGAATTTTTCACCAATACAACTCAAAAGCGTCAACTCTTCTTCAGTCTTCCTTATTCATCGTCCAGCTCTCACATGCATATGAGGTGACTGAAAATACCAGGGCTTGGGTTAGGTGAACCTTAGTCCCCAAAGTGACATCTTTGCTCTTCAACATTTTAAAGAGGTTTTTTACAGCAGATTTGCCCAGTACAACATGTCGTCTGATTTCCTGACTACTGCTTCCACTGGTGTGATTGTGGAAGCAAGCAATATGAAGTCTTTGACAACGTCAATCTTTTCTCCAATTATTGGGATGTTGCTTATTGGCCCAGCTATGAGGATTTTCGGTTTATGTGGAGGCGTAATCCCTACTGCAGACTGTGTTCTCTAATCTTCATCAGTAAGTGCTTCAAGTCATCTTCACTTTCAGCAAGCAAGGTTGTGTTGTCTGCATAGCACAGGCTGTTAATGAGTCTTCCTCCAATCCTGATGCCCTGTTCTTCATATAGGCCAGATTCTTGGATTATTTGCTCAGCGTACAGACTGAACAAGTATGGTGAAAGGATACTACCCTGACACACTCCTTTCCTGATTTTAAAACATGCAGTATCTCCTTCTTCTGTTCAAACAACACAGAATCTTTCCCTCCTGGTCTATGTACAGGTTCCTCATGAGCACAATTAAGAGTTCTGGAATTCCCATTCTTCTCAATGTTACCCATAATTTGTTATGATGCACACAGTTGAATTCTTTTGCATAGTCAATAAAACACAAGTAAACATCTCTCTTGGTATTCTTTACTTTCAGTCAAGATCCCTGTGACATCAGCAATGATCTCTCCCATTCCACATCCTCTTCTGAATCCAGCTTGCATTTCTGAAGTTCCCTGTCAATATACTGCTGCAATCGTTTTAGAATTATCTTCAGCAAGATTTTACTTACATGTGATATTAATGATATTGTTTGATAATTTCCACATTCTGTTGGAACACTGTTCTTTGGAATGGGTACATATATGGATCTCTTCCAATCAGTTGGCCAGGTAGCTATCTTCCAAACTTCTTGGCATAGACAAGTGAGTGCCTCCAGCGGGGCATCTGTTTGTTGAAACATCTCAATGGGTATTCCGTCAATTTCTGGAACCTTGTTTTTCACCAGTTCCTTCAGTACAGCTTTGACTTCTTTCCTCAACACCATTGGTTCTTGATCTTATGCCGCCTCCTCAAATGGATGAACATCGAACAATTCTTTTTGGTACAGTGACTTTGTACCCCTTCCATCTTCTTTTGATGTTTCCCACATCATTCAATATTTTACCCATAGAATTTTTTTTTAATTAAATATCTAGCAGTGTTCCCTCCCTCCCCTCCCACCCCATAGAATCTTTCAATATTGCAACACGAGGCTTAAATTTTTCTTCAGTTCTTTCAGCTTGAGAAATGCCAAGTATGTTCTTCCCTTTAGGTTTTCTAACTCCAGGTCTTTTGTACATTTCATTGTAATGACTGACTTTATCTTCTCGAGCTGCTCTTGCAAATCTTCTGTTCAGCTCTTTTATCTTGTCATATTCTACCTTTTGTTTTAGCTACTCTCCTTTCAAGAGCAAGTTTCAGAGGCTCTTCTGACATCCATTTTGGTCTTTTCTTCCTTTCCTATCTTTTTAATGACCTTTCGGTTTCTTCATGTATGATGTTCTTGACGTCATCCCACAACTTGTCTGGTTTCGGTCACTGATATTCAGTGCATCAAATCTAACTCTTTAGATGGTCTCTAAATTCAGGTGGGATATAATCAAGGTCATATTTTGGTTCTCATGGACTTGTTTTGTCTTCAGCTTCAACTTGAACTTGCATATGAACAGTTGGTGGATGTTCCACAGTCAGTTCCTGGCCTCGTTTTGGCTGAAAACATTGAGCTTCTCCATCGCCTCTTTCCGCAGATGTAGTCAATCTGATTCCTGTGTACTCCATCTGGTGAAGTCCACTGTTCATGTTGTATAGCCACCATTTATGTTGTTGTTGAAAAAAAGTATTTGCAATGAATAAGTCATTGGTCTTGCAAAATTCTATCATGCAATCTCCAGCATCATTTCTATCACCAAAGCCATATTTTCCAACTACCAGTGATTCTTCGTTTGCATTCCAATCACCAGTAATAATCAGTACATCTTATTGCATGTTTGGTCAATTTCAGACTGCAGAAGTTGGTAAAAATCTTCAATTTCCTCATCTTTGGCTTTGGTGGTTGATGCATAAATTTGAATAGTAGTAGTATTAACTGGTCTTCCTTGCAGACATATGGATATTATCCTATCACTGACAGCACTGTACTTCAGGATAGATATTGAAACGTTCTTTATGACGATGAATGGCATGCCATTCCTCTTCAATGTGTCATTCCTGGCATAGTAGATCATATGGTTGTCTGATTCAAAATGGCCAAAACCAGTCCATTTTAGCTCACTAATGCCTACAATATCAATATTTATGCGTTCCATTTCATTTTTTGACAACTTCCAATTTTCCTAGATTCATATTTCATACATTCCATGCTCTGATTATTAATGGATGTTTCTAGCTGTTTCTTCCCATTTTCAGTTGTGCCCCATCAGCAAATGGAGGTCCCAAAAGCTTTACTCCATCCATATCATTAAGGTCGACTCTACCTTGGGGAAGCAGCTCTTTTCCAATTGTATTTTGAGTACCTTCCAAGCTGAGAGGCTTATCTTCTGGCATTATATCAAACAATGTTTCAGGGCTATTCATAAACTTTTCCAGTAATAGATCAGTGCTTTACTGCCACTCATAAGGTTTTCACTGGCCAATTCTTTGAGAAGTGGATGTCCCCTTCGTTCTTCCAAGTCTGTGGCAGTCTGAAAGCTCCACTGATATTTGAAACACCAGTGACCCTGCTGGTATCGGAAACACCAGTGGTATAGCCTTGCAGCAACGTGAAAGCCACTCCAGTACAACAAACTAACCAATGGGTGGTGAGAGTATCATCCATTAAATCTGGAAAAGACAAGTTCCCAGAGCAACTCCTAAGTAGCATCTTAAGATGATAAACAAACTAGCTACAGTCCTTAACAGCTGGACTTGGCCAGATAAAGAAGACAGTCTTCTCTTCAGGAAGCTGTCCAGGGAGCAAGGCCCAGACTACGGATGTCTTCTCTAAGAAGCACCTCTTCTCATCCATTTTGCTCAGGAGGCCCAGCCAAGAGATGACTTGAGAGCTCTGTTTCACCTCATCCCAAGGGTTTGGGGAAGTTCTTTCTCTATTAACTAACTTAATTAAAATTTTATGAGCACAAGTATATAAAGATTCTGGGCTAGGCACATGTATACCAACAAGTGAAGATGCCCTCTTTGTCCTAAGGAGTGAACAATAAGATACAAAATTATTAAAGATATACAATATAGAAATACCAAAGTGAATATTAAACCAAGAAAAAAAAACCAGTTACCGTGGAGTTGGTGCCGACTCACAACACATCAGGGGAAGGAAAACGGGGAAAGGGACACAGGCCAGAGATGCAGCTGGTGGTAACGAAAGGGCAAGGCAGGAAGAATAAGAAACAGAAGAGAGAGGTGGAGGACAGCTGACTAGAGAGTGCCCGGTAAGTCACGTGTGAACAGAGAAAGGGCTAGACTCACGCAGAATTCCAGTGAGAGACCAGGAAGAAAACTGGCAAACGTCACAGCACAGTGGAGAGGGCCCAGGAAAAGGAAACACAGCAGAATAGAGCGAGCTGTGCTCCAGAGAGGGCTGCAGCAGGTCACTCTGCTTCACGTGCGGGGACGCTGCAGCAGCGGGTGACAGCCAGCTGAGGCCGCAGGAAAGAAGGGTCGCCAGGGCCACATGACACAGTGGTACCTGAAGAGCCTTGTAACAATCGCTCACTGCTGACTGTGTGTAAAGAACAGGACACGTGGGCTCACTTCTTGTCACTATAACTGAGAGAAGGACGATAACGTTTATCACGACGACACCCCGAGAGACGCACAGTGAGATGGGACACGGTTGGCCTCCTTCTTCTAGAAACCCAGCTCCCTTGGTTTCCACGGAATGACTATCTCCAACAAGGGTCACTGAAAAAGGGGAAGGCCCTCCACGAGATGGATCCACGCAGTGGCTGCAACAACGGGCTCAAGCACAGCAAGGCCTGTGAGGCCGGCGCACAGCCGGGCGGCGTTTCATTGCGCTGTACGTGCTGTACGTGAGGCGGCCGTGAGGCGGAGCCAACCCGACGGCACCTCCCACCACCGCTGCCATCTCCTGGTCTCCCACCTCGACTCATTCTTCTTAGTCCTTCTTGTCCTTAAAGTTGTAGCTCTCCGGGCTCCAGGCCAGGTCCTTTCCTCAATCCCAAGTTCTCCTCTCACACCTTCTCACTTACACCTATGGCTTCAACCGACCAAAATATTTCTCCATCGCAGACTTCAACCCTGAGTGCCGGTTCATGTTCCTATTTCCTGTATGTCTCCTCCAACCTGTCCCATAAGAACCTCAAATACAACCTTGCCCTTACCTGGTCCAATCCTCACCCCATCCTAGGCAGCATCACACCCACTCGATCACCCAACACAAATACCCGGCTCTAGTTCCTTAACCTCAGCCATCCTTTCCCTGCCCCTCCTGCCACTACCCAGCGCCACACCCTCATAAACCTACCCTGTGACTATTCAACAAAGCTTCCTAAATAATCCGCCAAGAAGCAATATGTTCCAAGTCCAGAGGATTGAAATGTTTGCCCATGAAAATAATAATCGTGCCCACATCTCTGAGCTACACTGTAAAACCTGGAGAGCAACTTCATATACATTTCCTCACTTTCCCCCTTGCCCCTCTCCTCTAAAAAAAAAACAAGCATAACCTTTTAAGTATAGTAAATGGGTACAGATGAGGACACAGGTAGTCAGAGAAACAAAGTGGCTCTCCCAGTCCGTCAAAATGAGATTCTACACTAATTTCCTCTTTTCTAGAACAGAAGAAATTCCTGAAATAAAAAAAAGAAAGAAAGGAAATATAAACCCTTCAAGCCAGAGCCTACAATTTTGTGCCACATGTAGGAAATCCTAGTATATTGATTCCTTCTTATTAACTGAACGAATATAGAACATTTTGCTCCATAAATCAAAAGCATTATCAGCACATATTTCTCTTCTAAAGGAGACGCCTTACACACTCTCTCTCACACACGACCACACTCCCTCAAAGAATAGAACATTTTGCTCCATAAATCAAAAGCATTATCAGCACATATTTCTCTTCTAAAGGAGACGCCTTACACACTCTCTCTCACACACGACCACACTCCCTCAAAGAACCTTCCGAGAATTAAAGGAAAATGAAGTTCTGTTCACTATCAGGCTAAGTATGTAGGGTCCTACTTCTGACCACTGGGAAAATGTACCCACACAAATTAACTGGGAGTTTACTCACATTCATGACTCAACTCTAAGAACAGACTACAAATCCCCAAGAGAAAAAAACTGCAAATGTGTTTCACCTAACGCACACTTCACTTGTTCCTGTAACCTCTGTGGTTTTCAAAAAGAATATTCACCAATGTCTAAATATCCTCTGCATCTCAGACATACATAAAACCACGCTGAGTGCTGGAGCCCCAGGGTCGCCACGGCGAGGTCACGGAACGGGCAGGCGTGCTGCTGCCGGCGCACATACTCACAACATGAACTCCTGCTCCCAGGAGGGCCGGTCACCTCGGACCGCGGCGGTCGTGCTCTTCACATTCTGCACCTTCAGGGTCACGTACGTGTTAAACTTCTCTTTCAAAAAATGCAAAACAAAGACGCGATATTTAGTTCTTAGGCTGTTACCCAACTCACCAAAGCCCTTGAATTTAAGTAATATCCCAAAGAAAGTTGTACAGGTAGAAGAGAAAAAGCGAAATTTTCTGTTGTACGATAGGGTACCATTCTGGGCATAGGAGAGTATGCAACATGCACTGTCCTCAGAGACATTCAAGGTTTTTCCAATTATTTTAATATATTTCACATTGGACCCAACAGACACACATACATGCACACACAGGAACCCAAAGAAAAGCTTCATGGAGTGACACAGCACATGAGACACTGACATGTCCTGTTCTAACCCATTTCATCTTTAAAATGCTAGGATCTTAGGTGGCGGAAGTGGTTTGGGATCAGCTACTAACCGAGGGGCTGAAGGCTCAAATCTACCGAGCAGCAGCTGCTCTGCACAGGTAAAGTCGGCCGACTGCTCCACAAAGATGACAGGAAGAAACCTGTCATCAGTTCTATTTGGTGACACACAGGGACCCAGGAGTCAGGGCCAAATGGCAGCCACAACAGCATTAAGATGGTAAGTGTAACCCAACACATTGATTTTATAAGGTGCTCCGGGGGTGTAGTGGTTAAGGCGTTTGGCTGGTAACCCAAAGGTCGGTTGTTCAAAGCCAGCCACTGCTCTGAAGAAGACCGATAAGGCAGTCTGCTTCCGTAAAGATTTACAGCCCTGGAAACCCAACAGGGGTCACTATGAGTTGGAATCTACTCGATAGCAGCAAGTTTGAGCTTTAGAAATTGACTTTATAGCTCACTGTAGTTTAGAAAAAACTAACCTAACTGATCTAGTGGGAACCAATACAGACACCCACATATAAGAAAAGACTTCCATGATGTGTTGTTGGTGGGGAAGGGAGAACAGGCTGTACAGAAGTGTGGATAACCCAAACGCAAGCCTGGCCCAAGTTCTAACAAAATTCTCCAATCTCCAACTTTGCACAGAAAGGAAAGAGGCCTCCGACAGCTAAAGCATTACTGAAGAACGAGGTTGGAGCCTGATACTTCCCGCCCTCAGACCCTACTGCACAGTCACAATACAAAACAGCCTGGTGCTGGTACAGTGACAGACACGGAGACCCACGGAACAGAATGGGGAACCCGGAAGTAAATCCATCCAGTTACAGACAGCTGAACTTCCACAGAGGATCAAAGTCCATTAGACGGGGAAGAGAGAGTCTCTTTAACAAACGGTTGCTGGCAAAACTGGTTATGCATTTGCAGAAAAATGAAATAGGACCCATGCCCCATGTAAAAATTAACTCAAAATGGATCAAAGACCTAAATCATAAATGTAAAACTATAAAGTTCACAGAAGTAAAAACAGAGACACAGTTAGGGTCCTAATGTATGGCACCAACAGGATTATCAAACACAGGTAAACACAGGTAAAGATGTACAAACAGCAGAAGATAAACTAGGCACCCAGGACCTCAAAACAGTTAATACTATGCTCATCAAAAGACTTCACCAAAAGAGTAAATAGAGAAACCAAAGACTAGGGAAAAAAATTGGTAATGACATATCTAAAATGTATAGAAAACTCCAAGACCTCAACAACAAAAAGGCAAACAATCCGATTCAAAAAATGGGCAAAGAACAGGAACAAACATTTCACCAAAGAAGACATTTAGGCGGCTAACAAACACATGAAACAGTGCTCACAATCATTAGCCATCAAAGATACAAAGCAAAACCATAAAGAGATACAATCTCACTCCAGCAATAATGACACTGATTAAAAAAACAAATGCTGACAAGGTTGTGGGGAGATTGGAACCCTTCTACACCACTGGTGGGACTATAAAACGGTCCAACCACGATGGCAGATGGTGTGGCACTTCCTGAAGAAGCTGGAAACAGAAACACCCCCTGATCCCTCAATCCCACTCCTGGGTGTCTATCCCAGAGATACAAGAGCTGGGGCACAAACAGATACCGTGCACTCCCATGTTCACCGCAGCACTAGTCACAACAGCAAAAAGACAGACACAATTTAAGTGTGCATTAACTAATGACCGGATCAACAAACTATGGTCCATATACCCAGTGGACTACTACACAACATTAAAGAACACTGATGAATCCACGAAGCACCTCACAGCATGGATGACCCTAGAGGGTATTCTGCTGAGTGAAATCAGTCAACCACAAAAGGACAAACACTGTATGAGACCACTACTACAAAAAGTCAAGCACAGGTTTACATGTATAACAGGGATGACCTTGGCGGACATGCTTACAAACACAAAGAGACATTCTTTGTTAGTCACCAGGGATGGGAGGGGAAGGGAAGGAGACTCACTAACTAGTGACAGACACGTGTTACTCCTGGTCAAGGGAAAGGCAAGATGGAGGACACCAGCACCAGAGGACCACGGCAAAGGAAGGCTCTGAGATGTACAGGATGCAGCTGGAACAAAGGTCAATGACGCTGAAGAAGGGTGCAACATGCACACTCCTGCAACAGCAGCAGAGATTTGGGCTAGGATACATCAGCAGATATGGATGCTACATAGGTCTGAGCGGCTGTATGGGACCATGGGTGTATATATGTACAGTTGTGGATTTCTCTACACACATTTATATGTGCTGCATGTATACTCACATATACAATAGGGCACATGGGGGCACAGCTGTGGAAGCTTCTTTAGACATAACCAAACATCTCGCAGGACTGTGCTACTGGGCTTAAAGGTGAAAGACCATAGTCTCAGAGGACATCGGGATCAACGGCCTAACACAGGACATAAAAACCATGCTCTACATTCTAGTAGAGTGAACTGCGGGGTCTGAAAATCTTGACAATGGGCATTGAAAACACAACTATTGGTCCCTTTCCACCCAGAGCAACGGAGAGTGAAGAAAACCAAAGACTCAGGGAAGCAATGAGTCTGAAGGCTTAAGGGGCCACGTGAACCACAGCCTCCTCCGGCCTGAGACCAGAAGACCCAGCTGGTGCCCGGCCACCGACCATCCTGACCAGGGACACGACGCAGGGTCCCAGTTAGGATGGGGGAAAATGCAGCACAAAATCCAAAATTTATAAAACTTGGAAAAAAAAAAAAAAGACTAGACTTTCTGGTCTGACAGAGACTAGAGGAACCCTGAGAGCCTGCCTTCAATCACTCTTCCAACATGGAGCTGAGCCTCTCCTGGAGGCCGTCTCTCAACCAGGTAAACAGTAACACCCGTGAGGAATGTGCTCCTAAAACAATAAACTACACACGGATGAAAAAGCAACATTTGCTCAGAAACAAAGATGGAGGGAGAGGGAAACCTGACGAATGGAAATGGGGGACCCGGGAGAAAACAGGGAGAAGGCTGGCATACTGCAGGGACCGCAGCCAATGTCACGGAACAATCTGTGTACGGATCACTGAACGGAAAACTAATTTGCTACGTAAACTTGCACCTAAAGCACAAGAAAATGTTCAAAAAAAGAACCAATGGAAAGCCTAATCCATTTGTGCATGCATCTACATAGAAAGTCTGAAAAGACATAGAAAAAGCTCTAAACAATTACTCATGAGAAGGGGAACTGGGTTGGCTAAGAGCTAAGAAGATTTTTAACTTTTCTACTCTACAAATGCCAACAATTCTTTTATGTTTTACAATAGCAATGATTTTCTTCACAATAACATTTAATAATTAAATTAATTTACTTAATTAATTTTATGAATTATATATTCAGTTAATGAAATCAATAAATTTTTAAAAGACTGCTTTTAAATCACAGCAAATTAGGGAGAAAGGACATAATAATGAAAGTGTGGTCTTACCTGGTGAACCCTGGAATTTGGCTCTTTTAACTGCAAGAGAAAAAAAAAAAGACCATTATGAAAATTATTTGCAAATTCATGACCTAACCAACATTTTTTCAGCACTTACTATATGCCAAGGCATGGTTTAGGATTAGGTTTTTAAGTCTAGATCTTCAGAGGGGAAAAGAAGCTAGGACTCTTCATTAAAACTCGAAAGACAGAAACTGGAAGGTCTCCTGAAGGTCACGCAATCTAACCTCACACTCAGCACAGGAATCGCTCTCCCAGCCTCTCCTGGAAAAGAGATTGAAAACCCAATCTCACTGTCGTAGAGTCGATCCCGACTCACAGTAACCCCTCCTTGGGTATCTCTGCGGAAGTAGATTGCCCAGTCTTCCTTCCGAAGAGTGGTTGGTGGGTTTGAACCGCCAGCCTTCTGGTTAGCAGTCAGATGCCTTAGGCACTATGCCACCAGAGCTCCCAAATCCAAGACACAGATCTAGAAAACAGCTAAATTCCAGAAAGTACCAAGTAGCTCCTTCCAAGAAGAGTAAGGCCAAGCTCCACACAGGGAAGAAGAAGGTAAAAGGAAACCCCAAGACACAAAGTCCAGCCAGGACACTTAGGGGTAGCCATACACCATTCCCCACACCCTGCATAATGCCTCGTCCCACCTTTGCAAACACACACGCGTGCTCAGCGGGTCATTCGGCACTTTCTGCCCTCTCCGTTGTCAGGCAGCATTTGTCGCTAAAATTAATTTCTTACTGAATCAAAGTATTGTCTCCCACTGGTGTGGCCCTTATAGTATCGTGTCAGTACAAATCTTTTCCCCAATTATTTTACACATAAATGTGGAGAGAGTACACCTGACTCTGCACGGCCTAAGACTACCTTTAAAAGATTATTAAGATTTGCAGTCACTAATCAGTAAACATAATGTTGCCATTATGCTAGTCAAAAACAGGATTATAACAATGGTTCCTTCCTAAAATAAGCAAGTAACTCACAACCTACTAAGGCAATGAATCTCAAACTTGATCACACATCAGCACCATTGGGAGGGTCTGCTAGAACACAGATTGCTGGGTCAACCTCCAGGTCATAAATTCAATAGAGTGAGGTAGGCATGATGGTCTGTGCTTCTGAACAGTTCTCTGGTGATATCACTAGCCTTTAACGGGTGGAGGCCTGGGACAGTGCTAATTATGCTTCCGTACACAGGATAGCTCCCCACGGACAGCTCCCCACAGCGAAGGATTATCGTCCCAAAATGTCAACAGGGCCAAGGCTATGAAACCCTGGTATAGACCGTGGACCCAAAAGAGATCTAGGGATGAAGTAAAGAATAAAGGATGAAGCAGTCAGGACCAGGCTTCGTATAGAAGTATCTTCTGAGATGAGTGTTCAAGAACTCTCGGAATTTGGGTGAGTAGGAAGGCAGCGGGAAGGTCCGTGGCGAGTAAGTAAGGCAGGGAGGATAGCTTAGCAAGCATGTGCCCAGGGGCTGCAAGGAGACAGGCCTGCTGGGAAGGAGGTGGAATCTGGTGGACAACTCTTGAAGGACTTGAACATCAAGCCAAGAAACATTCTGGGTACCAGATTTCAAGAAGATCATCCACAAACTAGAACCAAAGAAGCAAAACACCCGTAACCGTTGAGGGACTTGAAATACGAGCTAAGACGGAGGAGATGGAGCTGAGGTGGACATCTCCCTTGTTGTAAAGAAGGCTGCCATCCCTGGAAATCAGCGGGAAGCAGGCCTTCGAGCCAGCACAGTGCACAGTGAGCACATTCCCTTCAGCTGCCATATGACCACAGACATGATTATTACATGAGAAAAACACAGGCTAAGAAAAACAAACAAAACCAACACTGAAGAAAAGACAAAATAAATGCCATACAGCAATGCAATGTGAATTTAAAGTAAGTACATTTGAAATTCCCAATAAAATAAAAACATCCATAAAAAAATGAAAATAGGATTCTCATTTGGATTCCAGGGACCGAAGAACAGGCTCTGTTTGCCCAGGGCAGCAAGGACATACAAGTGGCTGCCAACAGGAAAGGAGACAGGCGGTGAGTGTATAAGCGCTGTCAACTAGTGGACAGAGGAGCACAGCACAGTACCCTGCCTATACAGATAACATACAAACAAAACAAAGAATACGAAAATTGTGGGCAAGTCATTCCAACATATAATCAATCACCAATTAAATACAAACACAAAAACATCACAATGCCTCAGAGACAACAGAGCATCACAGTCCACACAAAGAAGCAAGATAAAGCAGGAGAAACAAGGAACCAGGATACAGACCCAAAACACAATCCCAAGAAGACCCAGCATTGGAACTCCCTTATAAGGAATTCAAAAGAATTATATTTAGGTATCTTCAAAGGATTGAGAGACAGACCAAAGAAAACACATACAAAACCCTAGAGGAATTCTGGAAAGAAAATAAAAGAACAAAATGACAAAATAAATGAAAAATTAGAAATGATTCTAAATCTACAGATAAAAATTGAGATGATTAATACTAAATTGTCAGAAATAGATAACACATTGAAAGGGCAAAGGAACAGAATTGATGCAATGGAAGACAGAATTAATGAGATTGAAGACAAATACCCAAATATTTCTTTGGAAAGGGATCAATCAGAAAAAAAATCAAAACAAAATGAAGAGAGTCTAATGCTCATGTGGGATACCATCAAAAGGAATAACCT